GCGGTTCAGGTATCTAGGTCAGCCAAAACTGCGTAGACACTGTATGTCCTCAAACACTAGTTATTGACATGAGGATAGGCCTGACTTTTATTTATTCTCTGAACTCTCTGAAACACATATGTTTAAAACTTTTTATGCCGTTTTCTTGCATAGATAGTAAAGTTATTTAATAGATTAAAAACAGTATAAAAAGGTGAAAAAATCAAGTTAAATATATGTTCTAAGACTAATAAATATGGGAATACGATAAAACAATATATATGTCTTAAAACTTAATGTATAAATACCATTGCTCATAAAAATGGGTAAATGGGGGAATTTAAATGTAACTAATCTGCTAATTTCTTAGCGTGGAGCACAAGGATATTGATTGAAATCCAATCACAGAACAGTGACTTCAAACTCTGAATACTGCCTGGATAAACAATCCAATAATGCTTTTAGCTTTATTTAGGATTCTTATTACTTTTGTTAAATTCAAGTAAAATGTCTTTAAAATAGAATTCATAGTATGGTTCCACTGTTGTAAAATTATTTTTATTTTGTGTTAATTATAAATTGAGTATCTGTTATATGCTAGTTGTTGAGGCTACAGCAGTAAGACAGCCAGGCAGTCTCTTCTCATAGAGTTTGCATTCTAATGGGAAGATAGATGATAAGCAAATAAACACATACACCCACCCTTCCTCCAGCAAAAACAAAAAACAAAAACAAAAACAAAGAACACCTCCAGGCAGTAGTAATAAGTACGATGAAGCAGGAAGGGGACAGTGAGAGAGTACAGGAGGTGTGTTATTTTGGATGCGCTGGTCCCTGAAGGCCTCTCTTAGGAGGTGACCAATCAGAGGGCAGGAAAGCCACCTGCCCCAGGTGATGCCAGTGCTAGCCGTCACTGGACTTCTCTGGCATCTAGACTGCATCACCATCACTTCAGTACTGGTTAGGCAATTGTATCACCTTTCTGGAGTGGTCAGTGAATAAATGGTCAAGGTCTATTTTGAGAGGCAGTCTTCCAATTCTGCAGAAAACTGGCACCAAAAATGTAATTGGAATCCCAGGATCAGGGCCCATAAGATCAGCTTAAGCCCCCAGTGACGCACCAGCCTCTGATTACTCCTTCCTGGCCTCACTCTGGGGCAGACCCATGTCTGTGCAGCATTAACAGAGGGAGGGCACTTGACAGGAGCCTGATAGCCTGCTAGGCCCACAAATGGGGCCCTCTCTTCCCACAACCTGTCTGTATTTCTGTATTGCATTTAACCTTTTTGGTCAAACATAATAAATCACCTCTTATTTAAATGACATATTTTGGGAAAGCTTCTTTTCCCTTCAGTAAACACATAAAAAGAAAATGTCAGCCTTCATGGTCTAGACAGTAAGTATCAAGTTTGAGATCAAGTCCTTAGCAACTGGGGAAGATTTAAGAAAGAACACTGGTGCTTTTTAGTAGCTCTCATCAAAGGGTGTATAAGCATAAACTATATCAGCTTCCTGCACACATCACCCCCTGGCCCTCAGTTAGCCTACCCTCCTTCCAGCCTATGTGCACTATTGTTTCATCCCTTCTGTTCCCCCAGGACCTTGTACTACCAGTCATCTCATTTCCCTACATCTTCAAACTTTCTTCTGGCTCTTTCCCTGGAGACCTTAAACATGCCAAAGTTGTTCCTAGCCTAAAAACAAAGTCAGAGGCCACCTCCACTGACCTTTAAATCTATCTCTAATAGCACCATTCCTCCTTCCCAGTCAAGCTTCTCAAGGAATAATCTACAATTTGTCTTTAATTCCTCACTTCCTACTCTTTAATTCACTCAAATCTAGATTCTGCTCTGCACTTCCCCTCTCTCCAGCCACTGAAGCTCTATGTAAAGGTCGCTACTTCATCTCAAATTGTCAAGTCCAATAGGAACAACCTCCCTGGCCATTTCCTTCCTAACTTTTCATGGCTCTATCTCCTCTGTTCATCATTTAAACTTTCTCAGGGTTCTGTCCTTGACCCACTTTTTTTTTTGGAAATCATTAATGAGGAGTCATCTTTATTAGGCAGTTCTTAAAATACTCCCTAGCTCCAAATTTCTGTGTTAATATGACCAGAATCTTCCAGATAAAAAGACAGACTCCTGGGTACAAAATTGAACATCAGAAGTTGCCTCGTGGAGGCACTGAGAGAGACATTTGTCTAGATACAAGGATATGAAAATTTCAATACTCATTTTATATACGTTTACTTTGCTCTGTTTATTAAAATTATTTCAAATGTAAGACAAAGATATAGAAGAATATAATCAACACCCTTGCATCCCCAACCTAGCTTCAGCAAATCAAAATAAGGCATTTAAAAAATCTTTTACAACAACTCTTTGCTGCGCACAAGGAAAGGTATCAAAGGAGTGTGGTGACACACCCATGTAACCACGCCCCAAAGCCAGAAGCAGGACATGGTCCCCAGAAGGCCCGGAACTGCCATCAGGCCACTGCCCACTGCCCGAGAGGGCACACGTGCCTGCCTTTCGCCGCCTGGGCTTGCTTCAACCCCCACACTTTACGTGAATGGGATCCAGCCTGTGTCCTTTGCGTCCAGCTGCTTTGTGAGATTCCTCCATATGCGGTTGCCTAGAGCCGCGTCTCAGCCATTCTCACTGCGTGCAGGATTCTGCCATGTGACTGTCTCAGCATCTGGGTGCCCAAATGATGGGTATGTGGGTAGCTGTCAACGGAGGGCTGTCAGGAGAACCATTTCTTTGAGTCCCCAGGCTCTAGGTGAATGCATATCGGCATTTCCATGTGGTCTACGTGGGAACGGAATAGCTCCGTCACAGAAGGGGCCTGGTGATTGACCCACTCTTTTTTATTGAAGCATCATTGATATACAATCTTACGTTGGTTTCAAAGGTACAACACAGTGGTTCAAGTTACCTATATTATTAAACCTTAACCCCTCTAGTGCGGTTTCTATCAACATTGAAAGATGTTACAGAATCACTGACTATATTCTCCATGTTGTACTTCTGACCCCGTGATCAGTTTATATTGTGATTGCAAATTATTGTGCCTCTTTATCCCCATCACCACCCCAACCCCTCCCTCTTAGTAATCATTAGTGACTTCTCAGTGTTTTTGAGTCTACTGCTGTTTTGCTTTGCTTTTATATTCCACAAATAAGTGAACTCATATGGTATTTGTCTTTCTCTGCCTGGCTTATTTCAGTGAGCATAATACCCTCTAAATCCATCCATCTTGTTGCAAATGGCTCATTTTTTCTTTTTGGGCTGAATATTCTATTGTGTGTATGTACATCTTCTTTATCCATTCATCTGTTGATGGACACTTATGTTGCTTCCATATCTTGGCTATTGCACATAGTGCGGTGATAAATATAGGGGTGTGTATATATCTGTTCTGTCCTTGACCCACTCTTGACTTTAACACGTTTTCAGAATTGATTCACTATGGTTTTAATTCCCACATGCACCCAGCCCTGCCTCTTTATCTGCCTATTACCAGGTGATCTAAGAGCACTCAAATTCTTTCCCCTCATGTATTCTCTATTTCGATTGCTGACACCATCACCCACTAAGCCAGAAATTTAAGAATCCTTAATCTCCTAGCAAATCATGCATTTAGTCCTGTTCATTCCTCTTCCCTCCTAAAGCTCTGTCCAGTTCAGTTACTTTACTCCCATGGCCCCTGCCACAAGTCAGGCCGTTATGGTCATCTCCCCGCTTCCTTGCATGACCTCCATCAATTTATCATTCACACCGTAGCTAGGGCAGACGTTTCACCTCACTGCTCAAACCCTTCAACAGTCCCTTCACTGCAGAATAAAGTCCAGGTCTGTTAACATGCTCCACAAGCTCCCTGGCTACCTTTCCAACTCCCTGATGCTTTCTCCACAGCATAATTAATTCTCTTCTAATATGGACAGTTAACAAACAACCGTCCTTCCTGCCTGGAATATATCCTTTGCTTCTGCTCTGGCCTACTTACCCAGCAAGACACCTAAGTTGTCATCCTCCATGAAGCTTTTCTTGAATACCCCCAGGTTGTGCTGGGCACCAACCTATGAACTTCCATAGCAGCACTCTGAACACATCCTTGAAACTGCAAACAGAGCATTTGATTTATTGCTCTATGTCACAGTCTCCCTCTCTAGACTGTGTACCTCTGAAGGGCAGTGGCCTCCCTGCAATCACTTCCACACCTACTATGTCAAGTATGTGCTCAACGTTTATTCAACTGTTACTGAACTGGAATTACTGCTTAGCTCTACTGTTTTCTCAACTCCTAAATCATGATAATATGTGTTTCTCGGGATTCCTGAGTAAATGAAATCTTTGTGAAAAGCCCTCTATTATCTATGAGGTGTCAGCAAATGAAGTATCTCTCATTTGAGGTTGGAGATAGTGGGAACAGAATTAGTATAGGAGAGAAAGTTCAATCTTTTATTCAAGTATATCATAGGATAATAATGTAATTAGCAAAAACCATATAACAAATATCATTAAAGGTATCTTTAAGAGAGAAGTAACAGAGAAAATAGTCACACCATATGGATCATGAATATACTCTCAGTAAGAATGTTGGCCAAATAAACATGTAGCCTGTGATAAAATTTCCAACGACATAACCAGGTTAGGACCTTAAAGATCTCCTTCTAATCACTTAGGCAAAGGAAAAGATAATGTACTCAGCACATCTATGCTGTTGGTTCAAAGTGAGTCTAGTGATAATGCAGACACTGGTATCAAGGATGTATGTGGGAATGAAAAAAGACAATGGCATTTCTAAATTAGCAGATTTTAATAGGTTCTGTATTACTTTAGTACCTATGTGAAAATCAAGTATTACTAATAGCATAAAAGGCATACTGCATATTAGTATGTTAATTGAAATTCACTCTTACAATGCAAAGTACCATTGATGAAATATTCTAGGTGTAAAATAATTTATTTCTGAAAATAATTTTTATAGCATAAGAAAAAAATAACATAACAAGCAGAATGTATCAAAATAAATATTTATTAACATTTGAAGCTGTACGTACACCTTTAAAAGCAAATGTGCAAATGAATTATAAAAATCAACCTAAAATTTTCTCCCCAAAGTATAAATGAACATTCCAGATCAGTAGTGCCACCACCATCACAATAAAAAATGAATGTTCAAGGAATACAAGTAATTATTTTAAATGTCATTCAGACAAATATATCCAGAACACATGTGTTTTCATCTTAACTTCTTAGTGGCGGAATATAAATATATTTCCATCTTTTTGTCCAGCCAGCAAATGAGAATCTGTACCTGACCATTTAACGAAAGACCAACTTTGGCCAGAGACAGGTGTGAGGACAGCAGTGCAATGACCTAGAAGTAAGTCCCAAATGGCGATTGTTCCAGAAGTCAATACTGCTACTGCAAAATTATCTTTTACGTCACCTTCCAGGAACCTAATAAGCAAGCAGAGAAGAAACAATTCAACTGACATGTCAAAAAATTTTAATTAAGCCAAAACCATGCTCCCCAGAGCAACACTAAGGAAAAAAATACCTGTAAATATGAACACCTGAATCTGTTGTTGTAGGCGTGCTGGCTAGTGCAGTGGTTTTGGACATCACCACACTTACACTCCTATCTCTTTGGGGCATCTTGTCCCACGTGCACCCCAGCTCAGAGGGGCCTCCCTTCCACTCTTCAAATTAGCGGCCTTTCCCTCACCTTGGCAAACACTAACCCCAGTCTTCGCATGGCCGGGTTTTTGTCATCATTCAGGCCTGTTCCCTCTGCAGAAACGTCACACTCACCTACCTAGGGTACCACACGCATACATTCTACCCCTCATGATCACATTCCCTGCTTTCATCTTCACAGCACTTTCCACTGTGTGAGGTTATCCTACTTCCATGATCGGTAGGTATCTCTCTCGCCAAAATGTAAACACTACAGAGCAGAAATCTGGTTGTTTTCTTAAGACAGGGGCACTGTAGTCAGCTCCCTAGGTTTGAATTCTAAGAGTAAGAGCTGTGTGACCCTGGACAGGTTATTTAACTAAATCAGTAAAACAGGGATATGATGACATAAGCACCCACGTTATAGGTGCTTATGAAGTTTAATTAAATGGTTCAGCTAAAAAGTTTTCATGGAGGCTCAAATTCCCTGCATCCTGTGAAGTTTAATGAAATGGTTCAGCTAAAAAGCTTAGCACAGTGCCTAACACACAGGAAGAGCTGAATACAAACTGGCGGTTGTTACTCCTTATAGCCACACCACCAGCACCCACAGAATGCGTACACCGCCAGCCCTCGGTGAATATTCTGAGTGAACCGAATGGTATGTTTTAACCCTGGCTGCCACCAAATTTGTGTAGCTGACTCCTGACTCCTCTTTTGAAACTCCATCAAGGTTTCCCTGACAGTCTCTCCCCACCCCTCCACTGTCAAGGAAAGTATCCCCCTGTCCCTTGTGCTTCAAAACTGCCTGCCTCATGGAAATTCATGTACGAGCATTAGTCTCTAATTTTCTCTTCAAATCCATGAGATTAGAAACAGTAGTGCTTCCTACAGATTGGCACCAAACAGGCTTTCAAGGTGTGCTAAACAAATGGATTTGAAAAATGATCAAAGGAAATGCTTGACCAAACAGCTATCTTTCTCCTCAATTTCTGGGCCAATGACTATGAGTCTCTCTTCATGTCCAAGAAAACAAATTCTATATGAAAGCACACATTGCAGATGGCCATAATGAGGTTCCTGATGCACTAAGAACGTTGGCAGAAATGCCACACCTGGCTAAGTGCACAAGGAGGGACTGTTTTTTAGAATAAGCATTGATCCCCCAAGCTGTGTACAAGGTCCTAAGAAACATAGAAACATGTACCTCTTACGGTTCCTTGTTCGTGCGAGTTGTTAAAGCTAGATTTTGTGAATTAATAAATGCAGTCTTTAGGAATGACATTTCAGATGTTGCTCAGTTGACCTAATACTACTCCTGAGCTCAATATAGCTCAGAAAACTCTCAGGATGCCACAACTGTGTCACTGATAAATAGATCTCCTCATCAGTCAACAAATTTATCAATAAATATCAACTAGCAAATGATAGAGGCTCAGCCAAATTCCAAGTAAAGATGTCTTCTTAAAGTACATTTTAAATTTTAATTTAGTTAATGATAACAACAAAAAAAACAGTACACGCATATTGGAAATGTAGAAAAAAAAAAGTTAAAATAAAAATAGTTATGTAAAAAAAAAAAAAAATCTCCTCCCTAAACCATATATATTTTTGAAAATACAACAAATACAACTCTTCCTAAAAGAGAGATCAGAAGACACAGGACCACAGCCAGATTACATCCACACCTGCAAGAACCCAGCGCCTTGCAAAGGGGGTGAGATACAAGCCGTGGCCCGGTGGGACTCAAGCGTCCCTCACCGCAGCTCCCAGTGGGAGGAGAGGAGTCAGAGCAGGGAGGGAGAGGGAGCTCAGGACTGCTAAATAGCAGCCCTAGCCATCCGCACCAGAGCACAGGCACACAGTGCGTGCTTGTGGTGCTGGAAACTAGGGAAACAGGACAGTAAGACCTGTGAGTGGGTCCCTGCAGCCGGTGCCCCTGGGACAAAGAAAAGCAAGAGCTTTTTGAAAGTCTTAAAGGGACAGTGACCCCACGGCTGGATGGAAGCATCGCGGGACACTTAGCTCAGCAGCTGGGAATCCCAGGGAACAATGGGCGCCCTAATCCCCTGGGCAGCAGTGCAGCTCAGAGGCCCCTCACTGAGATAAACAGCCTCCTGGCTGTTTCCCCTCCAACACGGCTCTGCCATGAGGCAGGTCACGCCCACCGCAACCGTGGAGCTAAACTCCATAGTGGCCAGGTAAGAATCAGAGGCCCCGTCTGTGCACAGCTGCCCAGCACAAGCCACTAGAGGTCACTGTTCTCCCAGGAGAGGAAGGCCACAAACCAACAAGAAGGGACGTTCTCCCAGCCATCACACACACCAGCTCTGCAAACTACCTCTATTGCCGTGAAAAGGCAGGAGAATTTGATACAGACCAAAATCACAGAGTCAACCCCGGAGAAGGAGATAGACCTAACCAGTCTTCCTGAAAAAGAATTCAAAATAAAGGTCATAACCACGCTGACAGAGCTGCAGAGAAATATACAAGAGCTAAAGGATGACGTCCAAAGGGAGATGACAGAAATGAAACAATCTCTGGAAGGATTTATAAGCAGAATGGATAAGATGCAGGAGGCCATTGACGGAATAGAAACCAGAGAACAGGAACGCATAAAAGCTGATGCAGAGAGAGATAAAAGGATCTCCAGGAATGAAAGAATATTAAGAGAACTGTGTGACCACAAAAGGAACTATATCTGCAATATAGGGGTACCAGAAGAAGAAGAGAGAGAAAAAGGGACAGAAAGTATCTTTGAAGAAATAATGGCTGAAAACTTCCCCAAACTGGGGGAGGAAATAATCGATCAGACCACAGAAGTACACAGAACTCCCAAGAGAAGGGACCCAAGGAGGAAAACACCAAGACACATAATAATTAAAATGGCAAAGATCAAGGACAGGGACAGAATTTTAAAGGCAGCTAGAGAGAAGAAAAAGGTCACCTACAAAGAAAAACCCATCAGGCTATCATCAGACTTCTCAACAGAAACCTTAGAGGCCAGAAAAAAATGGCATGATATACTTAATGCAATGAAACAGGAGGGCTTCGAACCAAGAATACTGTATCCAGCATGATTATCATTTAAATATGAAGGAGGGATTAAACAATTCCCAGACAAGCAAAAGTTGAGGGAATTTGCCTCCCACAAACCACCTCTACAGGGTATTTTAGAGGGACTATTTTAGACGGGAGCACTCCTAAGACTAAACAGATGTCACCAGAGAACATAAAATCACAGCAAAGAAAGCAGACCAACCAAATACTAACTAAAGGAAAAAATAAAATCAACTACGCACAAAAGCAGTTAAAGAAAACACAAAAGAGGACAGAATAAAACAACCAACATAGAAAGAATGGAGGAGGAGGAATAAGAAGGGAAAGAAATAAAGAATCATCAGACTGTGTTTATAATAGCTCAATAAGCGAGTTAAGTTAGACAGTAAGATACTAAAGAAACTAACCTTGAACCTTTGATAACCACAAACCTAAAGCCTGCAACAGCAATAAGTACATACATTTCAATAATCACCCTAAATGTAAATGGACTGAAGGCACCAATCAAAAGGCACAGAGTAATAGAATGGATAAAAAAGCAAGACCCATCTATATGCTGCTTACAAGAGACTCACCTCAAACCCAAAGACATGCACAGACTAAAAGTCAAGGAATGGAAAAAGATATTTCATGCAAACAATAGGGAGAAAAAAGCAGGTATTGCAGTACTAATATCAGACAAAATAGACTTCAAAACAAAGAAAGTAACAAGAGATAAAGAAGGCCACTACATAATGATAAAGGGCTCAGTCCAACAAGAGGATATAACCATTCTAAATATATATGCACCCAATACAGGAGCACCAGCATATGTGAAGCAAATACTAACAGAACTAAAGAGGGAAATAGACTGCAATGCATTCATTGTAGGAGACTTCAACACACCACTCACCCCAAAGGATAGATCCACCGGGCAGAAAATAAGTAAAGACACACAGGCACTGAACAACACACTAGAACAGATGGACCTAATAGACATCTATAGAACTTTACATCCAAAAGCAACAGGATATACATTCTTCTCAAGTGCACATGGAACATTCTCCAGAATAGACCACATACTAGCTCACAAAAAGAGCCTCAGTAAATTCCACAATATTGAAATTCTACCAACCAATTTTTCAGACCACAAAGGTATGAAAGTAGAAATAAATTCTACAAAGAAAACAAAAAGGCTCACAAACACATGGAGGCTTAACAACATGCTACTAAATAATCAATGGATCAATGAACAAATCAAAATAGAGATCAAGGAATATATAGAAACAAATGACAACAACAACACTAAGCCCCAACTTCTGTGGGATGCAGCGAAAGCAGTCTTAAGAGGAAAGTATATAGCAATCCAGGCACACTTGAAGAAGGAAGAACAATCCCAAATGAATAGTCTAACATCACAATTATTAAAACTGGAAAAAGAAGAACAAATGAGGCCTAAAGTCAGCAGAAGGAGGGACATAATAAAGATCAGAGAAGAAATAAACAAAATTGAGAAGAATAAAACAATAGCAAAAATCAACGAAACCAAGAGCTGGTTCTTTGAGAAAATAAACAAAATAGATAAGCCTCTAGCCCAACTTATTAAGAGAAAAAGAGAGTCAACACAAATCAACATAATCAGAAATGAGAATGGAAAAATCACGACAGACTCCACAGAAATACAAAGAATTATTAAAGACTACTATGAAAACCTATATGCCAACAAGCTGGAAAACCTAGAAGAAATGGACAACTTCCTAGAAAAATACAACCTCCCAAGACTGACCAAGGAAGAAACACAAAAGTTAAACAAACCAATTACAAGCAAAGAAATTGAAACAGTAATCAAAAAACTACCCAAGAACAAAACCCCGGGGCCGGACGGATTTACCTCGGAATTTTATCAGACACACAGAGAAGACATAATACCCATTCTCCTTAAAGTGTTCCACAAAATAGAAGAAGAGGGAATACTCCCAAACTCATTCTATGAAGCCAACATCACCCTAATACCAAAACCAGGCAAAGACCCCACCAAAAAAGAAAATTACAGACCAATATCCCTGATGAATGTAGATGCAAAAATACTCAATAAAATATTAGCAAACAGAATTCAACAGTATATCAAAAGGATCATACACCATGACCAAGTGGGGTTCATCCCAGGGATGCAAGGATGGTACAACATTCGAAAATCCATCAACATCATCCACCACATCAACAAAAAGAAAGACAAAAACCACATGATCATCTCCATAGATGCTGAAAAAGCATTTGACAAAATTCAACATCCATTCATGATAAAAACTCTCAGCAAAATGGGAATAGAGGGCAAGTACCTCAACATAATAAAGGCCATATATGATAAACCCACAGCCAGCATTATACTGAACAGCGAGAAGCTGAAAGCATTTCCACTGAGATCGGGAACCAGACAGGGATGCCCACTCTCCCCACTGTTATTTAACATAGTACTGGAGGTCCTAGCCACGGCAATCAGACAAAACAAAGAAATACAAGGAATCCAGATTGGTAAAGAAGAAGTTAAACTGTCACTATTTGCAGATGATATGATACTGTACATAAAAAACCCTAAAGACTCCACTCCAAAACTACTAGAACTGATATCGGAATACAGCAAAGTTGCAGGATACAAAATTAACACACAGAAATCTGTAGCTTTCCTATACACTAACAACGAATCAATAGAAAGAGAAATCAGGAAAACAATTCCATTCACCATTGCATCAAAAAGAATAAAATACCTAGGAATAAACCTAACCAAAGAAGTGAAAGACTTATACTCTGAAAACTACAAGTCACTCTTAAGAGAAATTAAAGGGGACACTAATAAATGGAAACTCATCCCATGCTCATGGCTAGGAAGAATTAATATCGTCAAAATGGCCATCCTGCCCAAAGCAATATACAGATTTGATGCAATCCCTCTCAAATTACCAGCAACATTCTTCAATGAATTGGAACAAATAATTCAAAAATTCATATGGAAACACCAAAGACCCCGAATAGCCAAAGCAATCCTGAAAAAGAAGAATAAAGTAGGGGGGATCTCACTCCCCAACTTCAAGCTCTACTACAAAGCCATAGTAATCAAGACAATTTGGTACTGGCACAAGAACAGAGCCACAGACCAGTGGAACAGATTAGAGACCCCAGAAATTAACCCAAACATATATGGTCAATTAATATTTGATAAAGGAGCCATGGACATACAATGGCAAAATGACAGTCTCTTCAACAGATGGTGCTGGCAAAACTGGACAGCTACATGTAGGAGAATGAAACTGGACCATTGTCTAACCCCATATACAAAGGTAAACTCAAAATGGATCAAAGACCTGAATGTAAGTCATGAAACCATTAAACTCTTGGAAAAAAACATAGGCAAAAACCTCTTAGACATAAACATGAGTGATCTCTTCTTGAACATATCTCCCCGGGCAAGGAAAACAACAGCAAAAATGAGCAAGTGGGACTACATTAAGCTGAAAAGCTTCTGTACAGCGAAAGACACCATCAATAGAACAAAAAGGAACCCTACAGTATGGGAGAATATATTTGAAAATGACAGATCCGATAAAGGCTTGACGTCCAGAATATATAAAGAGCTCACACGCCTCAACAAACAAAAAACAAATAACCCAATTAAAAAATGGGCAGAGGAACTGAACAGACAGTTCTCCAAAAAAGAAATACAGATGGCCAAGAGACACATGAAAAGATGCTCCACATCGCTAATTATCAGAGAAATGCAAATTAAAACTACAATGAGGTATCACCTCACACCAGTAAGGATAGCTGCCATCCAAAAGACAAACAACAACAAATGTTGGCGAGGCTGTGGAGAAAGGGGAACCCTCCTACACTGCTGGTGGGAATGTAAATTAGTTCAACCATTGTGGAAAGCAGTATGGAGGTTCATCAAAATGCTCAAAACAGACCTACCATTTGACCCAGGAATTCCACTCCTAGGAATTTACCCTAAGAACGCAGCAATCAAGTTTGAGAAAGACAGATGCACCCCTATGTTTATCGCAGCACTATTTACAATAGCCAAGAATTGGAAGCAACCTAAATGTCCATCGGTAGATGAATGGATAAAGAAGATGTGGTACATATACACAATGGAATACTACTCAGCCATAAGAAGAGGAAAAATCCTACCATTTGCAGCAACATGGATGGAGCTGGAGAGTATTATGCTCAGTGAAATAAGCCAAGCGGAGAAAGAGAAATACCAAATGATTTCACTCATCTGAGGAGTATAAGAACAAAGAAAAACTGAAGAAACAAAACAGCAGCAGAATCACAGAACCCAAGAACGGACTAACAGTTACCAAAGGGAAAGGGACTGGGGAGAATGGGAGGGTAGGGAGGGATAAGGGTGGGGAAGAAGAAAGGGGGTATTATGCATGTATAATGTGGAGGGTGGGGGAAGGGGAGGGCTGTGCAACACAGAGAAGACAAGTAGTGATTCTACAACATCTTACGCTGATGGACAGTGACAGTAATGGGGTTTGTGCGGGCGGACTTGGTGAAGGGGAGAGCTTAGTAAACATAATGTTCTTCATGTAATTGTAGATTAATGATAACAAAAACAACAACAAAATAGTACAAGCATATTGGAAATGTAGAAAAAAAAAGTTAAAATAAAAACAATATAAATTATAAATGTTTTGCAGAGAACATTAATTACTGTTTGTTTTGAAACTGTTTTCATTATGGGAAAAAACAGGGTTTGACTACACATAAAATACCAATCCAACCCCATACTTCTGGGGATCAGGATGCGGGGAATCTTAGGATTCAACTCAGATCTACTGAACTTCATACTTCATCCTACTTGTTTATTATGGTTTATATGGCATTTCATGTTTCCAGTCATCTAGTGACATGAAAATATCTTGTTTCCAGATTTGCGTAAGTGCCTCTCAAACTGTCACACTCATTGAACAGCAGTCGCACACTTGCCTTCCAGCCTGCCCCTGAGGAAGACAGTAGAGCATCACACCCATGCCCAGGGTCGTCTTAGGGTTAATCACAATCAGCTGAAACACAGGGCTTCCCAACAGCTCACTCCCTTTGGCACAAGGATGACTCAGAACAACAAACAGGAGCCCCTAATTTAGGAGAAAAATTAATAACCAAGTAAATGATCAAGAGTATGCTGGGAAAAAGAAAAGGTTGGTAAAGACCAAACTGAAGAACTCCAGTAATGATTAATAGGTTCTCAAATACCCAGAACGTAATCACTGGTCACTTTTTTCTGGCAGGAAATGGCTGAGATTATCACTGAGCTGGACTTCTGGCTTCTCTAGCAGAGGCCCTTGTGATTTTTTCAGCCAGTCCGTGCTGATGTGAACCTACAGTGGGGCCTGATAAATCGATTTCCTCCACCATACATACTACTAACGTCTCATGCCATTCATTTGGGGAAATGCTGGCATTGGGAAAGTGGGCATATAAACACATGGAGGGAGTCCACAAACTAAGAATGTTAATTTTTGAGTTGGGTTTTGAAAATTCGTAACACATTTTCCCAGAAAAACAAGTTTGTAAGTTGGATTGTGACTGGATTTTTGTAAGTCACAATTTGTAAGCTGTGTGACTGGATTTTCAGGCCAGTCTGCAATAGCCTATTGTTTGTATTTATAGAGTAAGAGTGACCAAAAAATAGTTTATTAATTATATTTACAGAGAGTGACCAAAAAAAAGTTCATAGTATAAGAGTGACCAAAATATTTATACAGCAAGAGTCACTGATGGTTGTTTCTGTAGAAAAATGTGTCATAGACATTTCAGCTTTAAAACAGCATGATCTAATAATGACATTATTGTGTATAAAGATATGTCATGTCACACAGATATACATACACACATATATGTATATGTTGAAAATAATTATCTTTGGGGCTAAAATGGGGGAAATTAATTATAGGGCCATCTTAGGATTAACAACATTCATTTCTCCTTTCAACATTTCTAGAATGGCTGAATTCTAATAATAAGAATGAACTGCTTTTATAATTAGAAAACGACTGGAAGTCAGGAATAGACTAGGGGCTGGCAAACTATGGCCCAAGGACAAATCTGGCTCAGTGCTCGTTTTTGCATGGCCCACAAGCTAAGAATGGTTTCTACCTTTTGAAATGGTTGGAAAAGGAAGGAAAAATATTTTGTGACCTGTGAAAACTATATGAAATTTAAGTTTCAGAAAGTTTTACTATCCAAAAAGTTTTATTGGAACACAGCCACCCCGATCTGTTTCCATATCACCTATAGCAGATTTTGTGTTACGGTAGCAGAGCAGAGTAGCTGCAATAGAGACCATGTGGCCTGCAAAGTTGAAAATATTTACTATCTGGCCCTTTATAGAAAAAGTTTGCCAATTCCCACACTCAACTATTAACTAGTCTTTCTGGAGTCTAGCTTCATGGGGAACTTTTACCTACTGTCTTACACATTTCTGTGTTTAGTGTTTTAACACCAAATAAGTATTAATGTTATAATAGCAAATATATAAAATTATTTAAATAAATGGCTAGTGGACAGAACTGATAATTCCAGAAACAAATTCAACCCTCTTACTTTAGGATGAAAAAAGTTAGCCTCCAGAAAATGTGAAAGATTATCTAAGGTCTCACAACTTTTGAGTGCATTCCCACAGATACTGCTAGGCTAGGGAAAGAGGCATCATTTGTGCTCAGCGCCTCTACATGCTGATGTTTGTGGGGCTCCCACTGAGGCCAGGCCAGTCAGTCTCCACATGGGGCTGAGCTGGCTGCTCCCGCTTCTGCTGGCGGCTCAAAGGTGGATATTCAATCAGTTTTCCAGACTCTTGAACAACAGCCTTCAACCTGTGCAGATGTCAAAACTAGACTGCAGGCCAAGTATACTAAAACAATGGCTACCAAGAACACTGAAGCCTAAGAGAAAAACATGTCTAGGCCATTTAATTATCCTCCTTAAGGGTAGTCATTCACATCACAAATCATTTACGGCAATGTGGATGGGAGCCAAGTCTGATAACAGGCATACTATTTCACAGTATAAACCCATAGCTAGAAACAAATGTCTGCCCTTAAGTCATACCACAAGAAAATTTACCAAGCAATCATATTGTACCAACACTTATTTTCATCCATAAATTTCAAGGAAGAACAAACACTGCTATCCAATTTTGAAAAAAAAAAAACAGGCAATTGGGAGGGTCAGTTACTCCGTACTTACTAAGTTACTGCTCTCACTCAGTAAGAACAACAGCAACATAGGAAGCAGGCACAGTGGTGTAAGCAGGTGGTTACTCACCATTTCAGAATAGGCTTTGTGACAGACCGAAGCATGGTAGGAATCACCAATGTGCATCTTTTTCAGGAGTTGACCAGTTTTTAAATTCCTTAGACACCAAAAATAAACAAACTGATAACATTTTTCCAGCAAACTGGTTTTCACATAATATTCGCTTATTTATCACAGCATCCTTCAGGAGGTGAACAAGGGAAAAACTAAGGGACACAGTATCTTAGTTTTGTTCAGTTAGATTTAGCTAAAAATAGAACTATAGGTTAACTTGCCAATACTTTAATTTGATAGTTTAGCCTTAAGAGTGAATCTGCTATGCCACTATGTAAATGTCTCCAACTACATGGGAAAAATTTCCCATGGTCTCATTCTACTTGGTTCTGAAATTAGGCACATGGTATAGCTTGATCATTATGATTTTGTCACACTTCTCATTAGGTTTAAATTTTCCATGGAAGACAATAGTCAGGAAACCAAATTTGGTTAGGTGAGAGACTATACCTAAAACAGATTTATAATTATGTCTCTATAAGGTATGTTTATGCTAGAGCTAGACCAAGATAATGGAGGAAGAAGGGAAGACTAAGATGGGATAAAAAATGGAAAAAAGAGAGGAGAGAAGGTGAATATAAAGAAAAGAAAGTTTTTTGGAATCACTGCTTAGTTTTATTGAGGATTTGTAACATTGATCACTGCTCTGTCGGGTGACTCTACTGATGAAAAACTTTCAGTTGGCTCCCTCATTAGCCACAAGATAAAACCCAAGTTCTTTTCATGGTGTTCGGCCCTCATGAGCCAGCTGCAGTACTGTATGACTCATTGCTCCCTTACGTGAAATCCTCCCTCTCTCCTTACCACGTACCGTGCATGTTCCTGGCTCTTTACGTCTGTTCTAGCTATCCCTTCTAATGCCCTCATTATTAATTCTCATCCTCGTATTGACCAATGCCCATCGCTTCCTTTGGGCCTGGATGGTGCCCACTTCCTCCCAGCTGTATGAGCTCAATTTAGATTCTCTCACTCCTTCCTGTCTACACCAGGCCATAGAACTCTCCTCTCCTCCAATTCCCTATAGTACTGTCTGTACATCTCACTTTTTATTTAATATGTACTGCAATAGAGTATGACACAGTATTCAACAAATACTTCCAAACTTTCATATGTTCAAAAAAGTCGAAGGAAAACTAAGTTCTCATGTGCATATGCAAGGTTTTCCTTACATAAAGGACACGAGAATAGGTTTACCCCATACAGAGAGAGGTCAGTACATGTTTTGATTTTGGTAATTGCTCTTACCCCAAATCTCAAAGCATTCTGTCCAAATCTCCATCGCTTTGACCTTGTGTGAACTGTAAATCATACACTTTGAATCATAAAGCAAAGTTATTTACCTACTAGATCTTACGTGGCTTGGTACCAGGATTCATATCTGCTTCTCACAGAAAATGGTACATAAGTAGCTCAAATATCTATTACATGATTGAAAGATGGGTGCTCAGTTATTAGAAGCTTGATTATATTAGTTATTTAGATTAGATTAGATATTTAGACCTTCAGCAGTAACTTCCAGAGGGCCACTCAAATATTGGGCATAACATAAATAGCTTTAGATGTCTTAACGTATCAGGTGTTCAAAAGGAAAGGTGAACAACTACTATATGTAAAAATAAAGTTATATAGAGCCCAAACATTAAATGATAGCTTTTGATACAAAGTAAGATCCATAGATTTTGAGTAACTGCCTGAATGAGGAACAAAGGCAGCTATTGAGAACAGATATGAGACATGGTACCTACGTTCAAGGATTTTCATAATACAAATGAGCATATGCTAAGTTAAAAGTAAGTGCAATATGAATTCAGAGAGAGAAATGTCAATAAGGCTGAGGTGGTATGACAGAAATCAAGGCAGCTGTGGGACTGAAGATACTCCTTAAGTTTAGACCTTAAACTTATACTGAGAAACTAGGCATCAAGGCCCCCCACCTAACCTCAAATTCCATTGTGATCCATTATATGTGAAACGGCAAAAGACTACTATTAGAAAAAGCAGGCACTGAGGAATGGGAAGGAAAAAGGGAGCCAAGGAGTATGGAATAGCTGGAGGGATGTTTGTAATAAAGCGCTGTGGAAATGGAAGCTGAAGAAAAGCAAACATGAGCCACACTGAAGCTTTTATTTCCAAGGGGAGAGGGTGGAGCTGGGAGGAAGAGTGTTTATTAGGTGACAGTATAAAAGATAACCTAGAGGCTGAATACTGACTGGTGGCAAGGAGACCAATTACCACATTATATCAATAGTCTAGGAACCAAATAATGAAGATTCGGATTATAGAAATAGCAGGAAGAAAACACAACTTGTATAAAGTACACCTTCCTTAAATAGGGTCTCCAAGCAAAAGCCCTGAGTTAAGTGCCAGAAGTGGAAACCTGCTGCTCAGGACAGCAAGACCTTAGAAAACAGAGTCTCTTGGCAGATTAGCCCATAGTCTAATTTCAGAGGCTCTCTGGTGAGGGGAGGGGACAAAGTTTCTTTTGAAGGCCACATTTTCCTAGTTTATTACCAGAGGATTAGAGTTGAACAATGCAGAATAGGTAGGACGGGAGAGACACTAGCATCATAATTCCTCTTACAAGACCTATTTTGGCCCCAAAGAGACAGCTAACAGAGAAGGGTTCTGAGGAAAAAAAAAAAATCAATCCACATTCCTAATACAAATTATACTTGTGACTATCTATGGCCGGTATGGTTCTCACTGTGGTCAGGAAAGAGAGGTGGTTGGGGACTCCTCAACCTCAGTTTCTCTATCACAAATTTGTTAATTTGGATCCTGTAATCACTCTTTTACTATCTAGTATTTTGGGTTGTATTCTAGACATTATTATTAATAAACTCTGTATTCTGTTAGTTTTCTCTGAAGAATACTGATTTTTATTTTTTCTTGTAAACAGTCAACTTAGCTAAACTCAAATTTCAAATGCTGAAGATACTTTGGCCTTTTTTGCCTTACCCAGGCTGCCCTGTGCACATGCAGTTTAAAGATGAGACAGATATTTAGGTAGAGCTCACAGCCTGAGTTAGGGCTCCTTCTTTGGGTCTCTACTTTTTGGGATTTTTCTCCTTTACTTTCTAGCTGCTATGGTCACTCTTACTCTGTCTTTGGTTCTTTAAGCCAGTATGATAGGTTTTCTATCAGGCTTTTAGTCACCCAGTGTGCAGACTGCAGCCTGCTCATGAAAGCCAGAAAGACAGGAAATCATGCAGTGACATTTCCTTCTTCTCAGTGTCAAACCCTCTCAACTATCTTTCTTCTTTCTCACTTTCCAGTGCCTTCAGATAGTTTTTTTCATATTTTGTCCAGAGTTTAGTTACTTGAGGTAGGGGAGTTGGTCTGATTGAAGCCACTCCACCATTAACCAGAGGCAAAAACATACATTTTTGACAGAAATAAAATTTCATTTATTTTTAAATAGTCTACTCAGATGGATCTTTTTCACTGTCTGAATTAATGTTTTTGTTAAGACAAGTATATAGCATCTGACAATAAACAAAAATATAATCATTTAGAGTTGTTTACCAATCTTAACAAGCCTGTGAAACTAGAAGTATATCCTCATAGTAAGATAAGGAAACCAAGGACCTTGAGTGAAAGCTTACCAAATGACAATGCTATTCATTATAGTGGTACCAAGAAGAGCTTCCTGCATCCCTTGGACCTCAGCAAAAGTTAATACAGTTTCTTCAGGGGGCATCAAAAACTGTTTTTCTTTGCTTCTGCATTTAAAACAGTATTAAAATCAGTCCTATATACCAAAGCAGTTCCTAAGCAGCTCTTCTACTTATCATTAAATTATGAGTAATAAACACTAACATCAGAAAAAAATTTCAACTAGAAACCGTGTATTCCAAACTTTCTATAATGAACATATGTTCTTTTTTTAATTGAAGTAAAACTGATATACAATCTTATATTAGTTTCAAGTATGTAACACAGTGGTTCAACAATTACCCATATTATCAAATTGTCACCCTGACTAGTGCAGTTACTATTTGTCAGTATAGGTAGATGTCACAGAATCATTGGCTATATTCTCCAGAACATGTATTACTTTCATATTATCTACCTGGATATACTGCAAACACCTTAAATTCATCAAACCCAATTTAAACTTACCAACTCTCTCTTTTGAACTTCCCATTTCTTTCCTCATGCTTATCTCAATGACCTGTATCACCACCTACCCAGCTGACCAACCTAGAAATCTGGGTATTATCCTTATCTCCTGCCCCTCTGTTTAATCACCAGGTCCTGATGATTTTAATCATCTCATCTTTCTCAAATCTGTCTGTTTCTCTTTATCTCCCTAAGACCCCTCTAATTTAAGTAATTATTTGTCTTTTGCCTAGATCACTGCAACAGGTATTGAATAAACAAGATATGCCCTATTAGGAAAGACAAATAATTACAATAAAGTGTTAACAAGTATATATAGACATAGAGGGTGCTCTGAGTTCAGTTTTTAACATGTTGACTTTGCGGTATCCATGATGTCTAATAAACAGGAATTCAGGTCTAGAGGTTGAGAAAAAGCTCAGAGCTAGAAATATGTTTGCAAAGTGTTGGTCTCTAGATGGTACTGAAGCAATGGAAACCAAGTGTGTAGAACAAAAACAGGGTCTAGGATCTTGAGGTGTACTCGTCATAGTTAAGGGGCACACAGAGATTTCAAAGACTGAAGGAAGAACAAACTACATTTGCTAAGTCTCTCCATTCCACTGACTTCTCTGCCCTATCTGGCTTCCCCCTCTCTAAACTGTTATAGCTCAGTGTCAAGGCTGAACCTGCTATACCACATCTTATAGCACAGAGAAACAAGAGGCTAGTGATTCAACTTTCTTTGAACCCCTGTGATAAAACCACTCCTTATCTAATAGTTAAAACCCACCAAAGCTTTTCTTACCCTCCATCTTCTGCAAACATCATGACTTCTACTTGTTGATCACAAAGTGTCCCACTGCTACTGACTAGCCTCCTCTTTGTCAGGCCAAGCACAGCTTTTATATTTCCAGAACTCAGTAGTACTTGCTTTTCACTTTCACCATCAGAGGAACAAAGTAATGCTCTGAACCAAACATAAGGAAAAATGTAGAGAAGAGTAAGCCTTTAATATTAAAGGATTAGGTTCAAATTTTAAATGGAAACTTTAGTTTCTCTTCAACTGATAAGCTTTTTTTAAAAAACAAATCACTCTTTAGATCTAAATTTAAATGCTTTCAGGACTCAAGCCTAGATTATAGCTCATATTTAAAACAAGCTGATAAAGGAAAAGCAAAAACTACTCCTTGAGAATTACCTACCTGATCTCTCTGATTTCCAGATTTCCCAAAGCAACACACACCAGATTGCAGACATCAGGCACAGGAACTATCTGTAATACTGGAACCTAAGTAAAACAAAGCAGCCCCAAATTGTATTTGATTGTTTCATTTTTGATGAATCTAAATTTTCTATAATATGTCACATTTCTGTCTAGTCTCACTGTACCAAGATAGTTTCTAATATCTGAACAAATGAGGGAAGTTTCGGCAAACATCCTCTTTTAATGAGCTGTAAATCCAAATAAATTATATGCAAAACAGTGCTGATTATAGCAGTTTTTGATGCAATCTATACTTGTAACAAGAGGGGGAAAATTAAATAAATTCTGGCATGTGAACAGATGGAACATCATGCAGTCATTTAAAATGAGTTTATTCATAACCATGTCGCTCATGTAATTGTAGATTAATGATATCGAAATAAAAAAATAAAAAATAAATAAAATGAGTTTATTCACACAAATATTTACTGAACAACAAAAAAAGAAAGATATACAGATGTTAAAAGAAAACTGGAGTGGCAATATTAATATCAGAAAAAGTAGATTTCAGAACATTATCAGGGATAAAGAGGGATATTTTCATGATAACCATGTTAATTCATCAAGAATATGTAAAAATTATAGTGTGTATATCAAGATGTATATGACAATTTATATGAAATGGAAACATTCCTTGAAGCACAAAAATAACAAAAAGTGATAGAATAAAAATAGGAAATCTGAAAAAAAAAAAATTTACCAAGTACACTATGTAAAAAGCACAGTGCTAGAAGCAGTGGACAGACTAAAGAACAAGCATTTTTACCAAAAAACAAAAAAGTGACCATGAGGTGACTGACATGTTAATTAGCTTGATTGTGGGAATCCTTTCACAATGCATGTTTATCAAAGCATCGCACTGCACACTTTAAATATATTACAGTTTTGTCAGTTATACCTCAGCAAAGCTGGGGAAAAAATAAGTAATTTTCAAAATAAATAAGTTATGAAAAATTATGTAGAAATAAGGGAAAATGTTTATATGGTGAAGGCAGATTAAAAAATTTTAAGCATACGAGAACTGCAACCATGTTAAGATACATATGAAGATGGATAAGGACTATTAGAAAATACACATAGAAAAGAAGCAGAAATTATGTTTTGGAGAGGGGTAAAGAATACAGATACCAGCAAGTTTATAAGTCAGAACAGACATGAAATTCTAAGCTTCTCTAACAGGTCCAGCATAAAAACCCATTTCTGGACAAGTATTTGAAAAAGCAAATAAAGTACAATATTAGTTGTAGAGTCTAGATGATGGGTATATGGGTGCTCACTGTACAACTTTTCTGTATTTTGAAACTGTTCATAATAAAATGTTGGGAAAAAACTCATTCTCTTGTTTTGTCTTGCATGGTCGTAGATTCCATTTTTGGTAAGCTACCCATCCATATTACCATGCAACTGATTGCAAAGACCTCTTTCATCTCCAAGGTTCTTACTTACCTCGGTGAAGTGCCAGGAATAAATTTTTTCCCACTGCCAAGTATCCAGAGGTTTCCAAAGAGAAACAACATATTCACAAGCAGTTATAATACATGGCTCTCGGAAACCAGCTATTTCCCACCACATGGCACTCACATCCACAGAACAGGAACCTGAGGGATTCTGACACAGAATGGCAACAACAGTTATGGTAAAGGGATACTTGGGAGTCTGTTTTAAGAAAAGAATATGAAAAGTGATGGGTTTACAAGGATAAGATGAAATACCAAGTAAATGTAATTAAAGTTCTATGTAGGTCAAATGAAGAGCTTTGTGGGTCTTATCTAACTAAAAAAGTTGCCCACATAGACTTGTGTTATGATAGATTTAAAAATGTTCCAGAATGGAACAGATTCAGATTTAATCATAAGTTAGCCCATAAGAATTTACCCATTTGGAAATGAAACATCCCAATGAACCACCCACATGGGCTGAAGAGGGAACAAAACTGAAGCAACACACTGTTTCTAAATGAACAACACATACTGTGTGTGTAGCCAACACACAAGAGTATGGCCAAAGCAGTTACTGCCAAAAAAATTTATAATTGCAAAGGCATTTATCAAAAAGCAAGAAAAATCAAAATAAAGCAAGCAAGCAGCTCAATAAGTTAGAAAAAGAACAATGAAATAAGCACAAAGAAAAACCAAAGGAAACAATTAAAAATAAAGCAGACACAAATGAACTGGAAACAAAAACCCAATTAACATACAACCAAAAACCAGTTTTTATGGAAGACCAACAGAATGCAAAGATCTGTTTGATGTATGAAAAATATACTTTTAGAAATGGAGAAGGGGGGGAGAAAGGCTTACTTGCATGTACACAAAAATTTTATTCTTTTATTAGGAAAATTTGTAAGAATTTGATCATTTCCTATAGGAATAAAAAATAACTTCTTACCTACAATTTTGCAAATATGAATGAAATGGTTGATTCCTTAAGAAATTTATAAAAATTGATTCAAGAATAGCTTTGAAACAACACATATATTAATTACTATGTATTTTTTATAGAAAAAGGAATCTGGGGCTCAAAGGCTAAGTAACTTATACCCAAGGTCACAAGGCCACTAACTGGCAGAAAGAATTTATGAGGACTTAAAGCTTTTCACCTACACCAGTTCTCAACTGGGGGTGACTTTCAAACCTCCCCTGGGGGGGCAGTTGTCACACCTGGGGAGGAGGCGCTCCTGGCTCAGGCTGCTACCAAACATCCTGCAGTACCCAAGCCGGCCTCCATGACAGAGAATCTTCCAGCCCTGAGTGGCAATAGTGCGGAGTTCAAGAAACCGTGCTCTTCGCTGCTTCAACTACCATACTAACACTTAGGACACGGGTCCGATCCACTTCTCAGGATTTACTGACATTTCATTAACAGAATATCATGGCCTCTATTTCTCAGCTACATATATCACATAGCACATGAAAGATTAACCATTCATTATCTCAGAATCTAGAACTGCTACCCATGTGCTTACAGATCACTGTGATTCTTCTAGAAACATTATACCAGTAGGGTAAGAGAGTCAGGAATGATCCTTCACTCTCAACATGCCTGATTTAAATTTAGGTATGAAGTCGAGTTACTTAGCCTAGGCTATTCTTGGCCATAGTTTGACATATAAATTTCTTCTGGAGAAGATCTCAAAATATAAATATAGGCAAATGCTGTAAAAAACAAAACTCAAATGTTTTTCTGAATCTACTTCACCAAATTTATTAAGAATGAGAATCTACATGATCAAATTCTTCTCAGTTTTCCTATCAAATCATTATAATTTTCACATGAAGACATAAGACACATTATAAGGGAACAGTCTTCTGACCTTTAACTTTGAAACCAATTGTAGGTTGCAGGTTAGGCTATCACAGACAGGAAGGTCTGCTAGTTCAGTCTGTGGAAACAAAAGGTACACCGTTAATCTACATTTTATAGATGATGTCTACCTGCTTCTCTCTTTCATCAAAATGTCTGCTTTGTATGTTTTAATGTCTCTGGTAACGGTAGCAAAGTCCCAAATGCCACTTCTTCATTGCTGACAAAGAGAATAGGATCCTCCATATTTAAAATTTTATTTCTAAATTAACCTTAATTTCCCCCAGAGGAACTTAACGTTTACAGTGAAGTCATATAAAAAACACATTAAACCATTCTTAGATGCTCAGAAGCCAACTTTGCAAGGAAGCCAAGCTACTCATAGTCAGTGATCCTGCCTTCCTTCAGAGAACACTTCACAAAGTGGACTGCACCTGTTCAGTAGAATGTTTCCTCAGTTCCACACATGAATTTCCACAAGGCTGATGGTCTTTGAAAGTGAATGAGTCAGTGGGTAGAGGTGTTGCCTGGGGACCAGAATCAGAGTCACGGGAAGGCTGTCCTTTCCTATTGGAAACACACAGGCTGCTATCCAATTTGGGTGGGTTGGTCCAACTGCTAAATTGTTTATGACTACTGTCTTCCAGGTGAGCAAGATGGGGTATAGAGCAAGTTGGTCCATTAATCTCTGCAGACCCTTTTTCACAGTGTGCTTGGGAGTCAAAAGCTGGAGTAGTGCCTAAAATAGGGAAAGCAGGTGAGCACATATCTACTATCTGTCTGTCAGCATCATCAGGTACAACAGTATTTAAAGGAGTGAAAAGCAATATGGATGAAGAAAGGCCCTTCTTCTGAGGCTGGCTTTTTAGGGTTGGCATTTTAAGGTGTGCTTTTTTTGGTAGAACAATTTCTTCTTCCAAGCTCTCCATTTCTTTATCAATTTGTTTAGGAGCCAGTTCCTCCAAGACAATACCATTTCCCTCTTTAAGATGCCTCTCTCCGTGTGTTTTTGATCCAAAAAGCTCAACTGGCTTTTCTGAGGAGGACTTGGGTTTTTCAAGCTTAAGAGGTCCAAAATCTTCATCAGGTAACTCAAAGTCTGTGATTTTGAGAAAAGATGACAACTGCTTTACATTCAGCATTTCATTCTTATGAACTGGAGCATGGAAGGCATCACCATCCACAGCTAAATAAGGACTGTTACTGGGAGAAAGGCAGTCCTCTTTCTGACGATAACTTTCTTTTCCTAAAACAGAAAGCAACAACGATAACAAATACCCAGTACCCAATAAAGAGTGAGCTTCTAAAGTCCAAAACGTTCCTTACTCTACCCAACCATGACTCCAAAACCTACGTGAATGGTTCAAAAATCGGTCACAGGTTGGTGGTTAACAGCAGCTCTCTCTCTGCAATACCAAAAATACAATGGTGCTGACAGACAGCATTAGCTGGGAGAAGGGAGATGGAGGTCTAGTTCCACCTCTGCCACTAATGAGCTGGGCCACCTTGGGCAAGTCAGTTCACTTCATTTGCCCTCATTCCTCAGAAGGGAACTGGACTAAAAGTCTCCAAAGTCCTTCCTGCTCTAAAACTATGATCCCAACAGATACCAGAGTATCGTCTACCAAATGCTGGCTCATCTCACTGAAGAAAACTTAGTCCCCTTTTCAAAGAGTAATTTTAATTTACTACTCTTGAAATGACTGTGATTCTATACCATTTAAAATGTCCCTGCATCCATCACCTAATAAGTGGATAAATTGTGGTATATATACATTGTGGAATATCACTCAGCCATAACAAAAGAATGAAGTACTGATATATGCTACAACGTGGATGTATCTCAAAAGCAAGTGAAAGCAGCCAGACACAATAGGTCACCTATTATATAACTCCATTAATATGAAATATCCCAAACAAGTAAATCCACAGAGAAAGTAAACAGATTAATGTTTGCCAGGAGCTAGGAGAGGAAATGGGGAACAACTGCTAATGCACATGGTGTTTCTTTTTGGAGTGAAGAAAATGTTTTGGAGCTAAATGTGGTCATGGTTGCAGAATCTTGTTTATACGCTAAATGCCACTGAACCATTCACTTAATTTAAAACGGTTAATTTTACATAATGGGAAGATCATCTCAAGAAAAATTTAACATAGCTGCAGGTTATTTCAGAGTATACAAAAGACTGTCTCTAGTTCATTACTAAATTGTCCTACTTTCTGATTCCTTTGTATTCTTATTGGCTTAAGGTGATAAAAAGTCATACAATGATTATTTTTTAATTAATTAAATGCAGCTCATAAACCAAAGCCTGCATTCAGCTGGCTGCCTGATTTTGTAAGCAAAGTCTTATTGGAACAGTCACATTTACAAACTGTCTAAGGCTATTTATACACTGTACTTGAGTAGCTATAACACAACACAGACTATATTTATTATATGGCCCTTTATAGAAAGTTTGCTATCTCTAGTATAAAACCAGAGTAAAGTCTAGTTTTTCATTCACTCCTGAGTAAATGAATAGAAGTTTTAAATTGTTAACATGTCACTTCTATTTTCCATCTTTTGCTCAAACCTATTACATCTAATCACACAATCATTCCTAAGAGGGTCTGTTAAGTGAACTCTGACATTGACAATTTATTGCCTTTACTTCAAAAAGACTTCCTATATTAGTTACAAAGCTTCTCCCCATGGATAAAGACTGTTACACCTGAATAAATACTAATTTTATGTAGATATCAAATATACTTTCAGTGTTGACATTTTGAATCACGTTAGTGAACTCTGGCACCACACTGCCAGTTTGAATCTTGGCTCTGTCACCTTAATTAAAGTCACTTTAATCCCCTTGTGCCTTAGTTTGGTCACCTGTAAAGTGAGGATAAAAATAGATTCTAAATCAGGAAGAGCTGTTGTGATGATTCAGTGAGTATCTGTAATTCAGAAAGTGCCTGGCATACACTGTTAACCACCATCATGATCATCATCATCCACACCTTGACTTATCTTTAATGCTCTTCTTACCATGAATGATTGCCTTTTCTTTTTGATCTTTATACAAGGCAACTTCTTCCTTAGACCTATTAACACCTGATGTCCCAGAAGTTGGCAAAAGTACTTCATGATCGTCCAATACAGGGGGGCAGATTGACTTCCTTTTCCCTCGCTGTCTTCTACCACCTGGCTGGACAACCACCTTCCTAGAAAAGTCATCTTTAGTGGGCCCAGCGGAAGAGTTGACTTCACTTAAGGACGGAAGTGTCTGAGGACTTCTTGAACTTGGTGGTCCTATGCATGTGTCAGACATCCTAATTCCACTTTGGTTGGTTTCCTCATTGGGAAGATTTAAATTTTTAGAAGCTTCCTTATTTTTATTTTCAAATCCTTTCTTTTTGATATCCAAATGACTTTGAATTACAGCCTCCAGGGCTATTTTCCTTTGGCAATTGGACATGTGTCGTGTTGTTATAACATAATATTCTGCAGGAAATAGGCCTTCAAGCATTGTGCAAGAATGTGTTTGATTTTCTGTAGAAATAGGAGAAATTACTTCTAGGCTAAGACTCTTGGACTGACTTAGAATGTCATTTTCCTCTACACTTTCATTTCGACCACTGAGAGCATTATGGGGAAATTTTAAAGACTTCTCTGTGTCCTTTTGTTCTTTTAAGTTTTGGTTTTCATTTGCCAGTAAGTGATCATGAGTGAGTTCATTTATAGGACATGAATTGTCTGCCTCTGAGTTAGGACTTCTAGGCAGTTGGCCACATGCCCTTATAGCAGCTCTGTTTACTTCTGGGTTACTTGTAAAGACAGTCATGCTTTTGTCTTGTGCCTCCAGGTTTACAGGTAAAGCGGGGCTACTGCTTTTGAAACAGTGAGTAGTAGGTTCAAAGTTCCCTTCAGGCAGCTTCTGTTCAAGGTGCTGACCACTACTGCTACCTGATGAAGTACACAAAGGAAGCAAAGTAGCCCTGGGGAAACTACTTCCTCTTGAGAGCACACCCACACTTCTTTGTCGTTTGGCAGTTGGTGGAATTAACACACTCCCTGCATTTGTTTCAGTAATTGGTGCTGGAGAATTTGGAATGTCAGAGTTAGGACTTGAATGGTCAGTTCTTATGTCCATTTTAGGTGCCCTAGGATTTTCTCTCTTGATTTCTTCTTGCTCCTTTAGTCTTTTTCCAAAGGGTGTGAGGGAATCAGTGTCAAAAAAAGAGTCTCTCTCCTGTGAAATAAATGTTCTTTTCTGCTGCTTCTTGCTTCTCCTTGGCAGCTCATGCTGCCTTTTCTCACCATCAGGGCCATTGATCATATAGGGAAAATGTTCTTGGATATCAGCTGTTCTTTGTGTGCATAATCCTGCCACTGGGCCATGTTCAGGGCTAAAGGATTCAGGCTCAATGTCAAGTGTGATAGATGTCTTTTCTCCAGTTTCTTCATCAACATGGGTGTTGATTTGTAATGTGTCACAAGGAGATACTTTACTTTTAGGTTCTGAGGAGAAAAAAATTACGTAATTAATATTTTCCTTTTAAAATGAAACAAAGGACTCCAACTTTATACTACCTAATAGTAACTTATGAGTCAATCATATTTCATTCAGGCAGATCAAAGCTCAGGTTTTTAATAATCTAATAATTTAAAGTAAATGTTAAACAAATAGAATTGTGCTAGAAAAACAGTGATTTTAAACTAAAAGATTATTCTTAATTATAATAATCTTTTCTCTTAGTTTTTTTCTTTATTTGAAGATAACTGACAAAAAAGTATATATTTAAGCTTTACATTGTGATGTTTGGATAGCAGGTATCCACTGTGAAATGTCACAATAGTCAAACTAATGAAAATATCCATCATTTTGCACAGTTAACATTTTTTTTTGTGCACGGTGAGAAATTTAAGATCAGCTCTCTTAGCAAAATTCAAGTATACAAAATAGTATTAACTACTGCCTCCAGAACTTATTCATTCTGCATAAGTGAATGGGGGAACGGGTTGGTGCTCAGCTGGCCCAGTCCTGGTCTGGAAGGTGAGAGAGCTTCTTGGAGGAGGCTGAGGTGTCCCCATGGCAGGCTTTGGTCCTTTCTAGAGCTCTGGGGTTAGGCTGTCCTGGGGGAATGCTGCAGGAAGTTGGTCCTAGACAGGTGGTGGAGGCTTCCAGACAGGCCCTAGCCCAAGGTAAACCCCACTTCCTCTTGGGGTCAGCCCGGGGCCCATTCAGGTGGGCTGACGCTGGAAGGGTGATGCCAGGTCAGCTGCCTCACCTTATAGCCAAGGACACAGGCTGAGTGGCTGGTGGGTGTGGGGCTGGGCAGGGAGTTCTCAGTCCTCTGAACCTTTTGACCAACATCTCTCCATTTCTCCCGTTATCTCACCTAATTTTTTATTTCACACCTTTTTTTGGTTCAAATAATTTTAATATTACTTTCCTATTTCAACAGCTTCCAATTTTATGAATTATCTATTAACATGAGAAATGACAATTGTTTTTAGAGTATTCCCAGTTGGACTTTTTTTCTCTGTGCATATACAGACACTTAATTAAAAAAAAAATATCTCTCCAATATTGAGGCAATAAATAAAATTTCTGAAAGTTGAGAGGGTAAAAGAGCAACTAAATAAACAATCCAATTGAAAGAATAGATTACTGCTCATAGAATGGGAGAAAATAACTACAAATCATGTATTGGATAAGGGTCTAATAGCTAGAATGCATGAAGAACCCTTACAGTTCAACAATAAAAAGACAATTAAAATGTTAGCAAAGGACTTGAATAGTCATTTCTTCAAAGAAGATATAAAAATGGCCAATAAGCATACAACATTATTAATAATTAGGAAATGCAAAGCAAAGTCACAATTAGATACCATTTCACATCCACCAAAATGGTTATAATTTTAAAAAGGAAAACTACAAGTATTAGTGAGGAGGTACAGAAATCTGAACCCTTGAGCATTGTCGTAGGACTGTGAAATGGTGAATCAACAGAGACAGAAAGTAGACTGGTGGTTGCCAGGGGGTTAGGGGTAGAAAAGGTACAGGGTTTCTTTTTGGGGTAATGAAAATGTTCTGGAATTAGATAGTGATGAAGGTTGCACAATCTTGTAACTATACAAAGAGCCATCGAATGGTACACTTTAAAGAGTATTTCTAGTCCTTACCTTACGACTACAGGAAAATAACCACAGCTGAATATGGCTGGGAAATGAATATGAAAGCAAGTATAGGTGAAGGGGCTGGCTTTACCTGAGCGGTTAAGGTGAGGGGAAACTTCCTGTTGGAGCAAGCAATCTTGCTCTTCCACTGTTTTCTTAACAGAATTCTTAACCTTTTCAGCTCTTTGGGCACGCTAGAGAAAACAAAAGCAGCCCAAGGAACAAATTTAAGAAAACGAAGTTAAGTACTTTTGAAGTTTTATTATTATGGAGAACTGTTTTTATATAGTTTGCACTGTAATACCCTCAATTTGAGAGATTAAGATTCACTTACCTGAAGGCGGGCCAGTGTCTTGCTGTATTCCCTTTTCAAGAATGCTAATTTTTCCTTCAACTGGAAGAAGAAAAACAGCAAACAATGATGAGCAGGTGGAAAGGAGGAGTCAGAGAAGGGATATAGAGCCTCTCAGACATGAGTGCAGTGCTCAGAATGTGCCTTAGTGGTAGAGGGAGGAGCACAGCATTTTCGATTTTTAATGCACCAAGCTCTCCAATATCTCAGCACCTTGCATAACTGCATTTCCTCACCAACAGGAGGAATTGCCTCCAGACTCACTTTGCTAATCCCTACTGAGTAGTCAAGTCTGTGCTTACATTTTCATTTTCCTGGGGTAGCCCTTCTCCAAATCCTGACTAGAGGTCACATCTCTCTGCTGTGCCTCCTGCATCAAAGTACTTACGCTGTACTGTCTACTTCTTTGATGCTCCCATCTTACTGTGAGACCCTAGAAGGTCACAGGAGACGTCATTATTCATTTGACAAATGAATCTCTTATTTGCCATTGTTCCAGATGCTAGAGTTTTTTGGTCCAGGTATTTCTTGCCCCTTGAACAGTAACTGATACCTACTGTGTCAAGCTTATATAGAGAGGGATGTAAATAATTAACAAGAAAACAAACAGATAAGATGATTCCAGATAGCAATCAACACCTAAACAGGGAGATGCGAGAGTGCCTGGGCCACAGGAATGGACTATTTTAGATAAAGTGGCCAGAGAAGCATTTCTGAGGACTACCATTTGAGCCCAGACCTGAACAAGGAGCTAGCTTTGGGAAGGTCAATTTGTCTAAGATCACACAGTTTATAAATAGCATGATTCAAATTCATGTAGTTGGGTTCGACAACTGTGCTTTTAACCTCTATGCTAGACAGCTTCTCACAGGGTCCTATTTATCACCAACCTTACTGATATCTGGGAATTATCATGTTGACTTGTAAATCATCTAACTCACCCTCACTCGAAGACAGGCTGGTATAAAGTGGGCTGGAGTTAATAAGAACGAAGATTTTAGCACAATGCCACCACAAGATACATTCAAGCTACCACCACCAGCACGAGTACAAGACGGCATGTATAAAGATGGTTGAAGGAACACTGTTGTAGAAGCAAAAGCTGGAAGCAATCTAAAAGTATCTCAGCAGAATAATATCTAAAGAAAGCTGGTACTACCATACTACTAATACTATACAGAACTTGAAAAAAGGTAGATAAACATGTACTAACATGAGTGTTAAACATGGAGAAGTAAAAAACGGAAGTTGCAGAATCATTTAGCTCATACCACTTGTGAACATTTCCCCTCCCCCAAAAACACATATTACTTACTAGTGTTTAGGGAATACAACCATACCCCTCCACCACACACACAAGCACAAGCGAAAAAAGATGACAGATTCCAGACTGTTAAGAGATTTACTTAAAAGGGTGGGGTGGGAGAAATCAAAATAGTATGTGCGTGTGTGGGGGGGTGTCAAAGGGGACTTTGCCTTTACTTATTGTTTTACGTTGCGTATTTATGCATTACTGCATTAACAATCATTCTTTAAATGTCACCACGTGAGCACAGCGCTCTTTCACACTTACTCCCTGTTCCCCACCGTGCAGAAAAGAGCGTAGGTCAGAGGTCACAGCCGCCCTCGGACGGCCAAGTAAACAGGCCAAAAATCCCAAAAATCCCGGGAAAGGTGGTCGGAGTTCTAAGAAAGCCCTTCCCGCAGTGCCCACCCCCAACTACAGCACCTTTTCCTTCTCCTCACAGCTGAGGGGCTTCCCGGGAGGCTCTTCCATCGGACCAGCAGCCGAACGGAAAAAGCAGCCGTCACCGCCCCCGGACATGAGGACGCGAAGATCCCGGCTGGCCCAGGACGCCGGAGGCACCCCGGGAAGAAAGAGGGGGTCCAGGCTCCCCGCGGCGCGGGATCGATTGGCCCACGCGGGCCCCGCGCGCTTCTAACCCCGGCCAATTATAGCCGCCTCTCAGCCTGCGCACGCGCAGCCGGAGACTCCCGAGCAACGGAGCGGGGGCGCCTAGCGGAGAGCCGAGCTGTGGATGAGACCGGAGGCCGCCTTGAGCGGAAGTGGAGGAGCAGCCGGAAGTGGCCAGGATCGCAGATAGACCGTCTGACTGACAGGCTTTGACAGGACCAGGACCTGCGGAAAGGACTTGGTGGCCATGGAGTTGGGCGAGCTGCTCTACAACAAGTCCGAGTACATCGAGACGGTGCGCGTGTCCAGACATCTGCCTTCCCCTTTCCAAGTCTGCGTTTCTCTGAGGCCGGTGACCCCATCCTGTCTGCCGCACCCTCGGTCCCTTGGCTTTTAGTCCGAGATTATCTAGTGACACTTTGTGTGTTGTCTGGCATTGTTATTTAGTCCCTGAATGGCTTCTTAAGGCTTTTTTATTCCCGATTTCTTCGTAGAGAAAGAATGCCTTCCAAAAAGCAGGAGAAGCCCTACCCACCATAATATTAATTACAGCTCCAGGCTTGGGGCCTTTTAAAAGTTTGTTTTTTTTAAACTAACGTGTCATAACCTATTACTGTGTGCTGAGGACTGTTAGGTTCTTTATGGTTAATACATGATGTGTATAAATTGCTCAGAACAGGGTAGATGCTTAATCAGTGTTACCATTATTATTTTTTCATTGAAGTCTCATTCACAGTTCTGTGAATTCTGTGTTGGTGATCATTATCCTGGTTTTAGTGCTGTAAAACCAAAGTATGGAACTTGAGACTTGAATCCATGTCTCTGATGCCACTCAGCCATAGACCTGTAGCCCTACTACATCCAAATTCTAGATCAATTCCTTGGATTTCTAGTTTCCTAATCCATCCTTGCTTTTTTTTGATATCCTGGATTCATTCTGATGCAGACTACACACCACTGCAAGTCCTTTTCTCTCTGATAGGAGCTTTTTTGATAGAAACCTGAAGCCAGAACCCACTCAGTTTGCTCACCCGTATTTTCTGCTGTTCCCTTTCAGGCATCTGGCAACAAAGTTAGTCGCCAGTCAGTGTTGTGTGGAAGTCAGAACATCGTTCTTAATGGCAAGGTAAGGGACAAAGCCAGCTTCAGGATGCATACCTTTGTTTTTTTCTCACTAATTATTGTATTAGGAGGGCAGGTAAAATGTTGCTGTACCTTTAAAAATTCTCTTTTTTTTCCATTCTCCAAATTGGATTTAGTGAATCAACAAAACAGAGTCAATAAAAAGAGGCAGAGAAAGCCTTTTTCCTTTTATGCCAGGAAAAAATACAATGGTACCCAGAACTGAAATTAATATACAATATTGTAGTGTGCCCTAAACTACTGGACCCAAGACATTGGCAATAAGATATTTTAGGGTAGAAACTAAAGGAATACAAATATAATCATATTTTTAATAATAATAATTCATTATTAACTGAACTCTTAAAAATGTGGGAACTGGGAAAGAAGCTAAATATAAAACAAATTTGCAAAATTGAATATGGAAGGCTCAGAATCTTGTAGTCTAAATAAATTGAAATTAGCAGAGATGAGTATAAGCCTGGGAATAGTATGAGAATGTTTCAGAACCACAGAAAATGTCAAGATACATTTGAGCTTGACAAACACTAAAGTCCATAGTTTTTCTTCTGCCATTAGGAATACTTAATTGTCCTTGAAATGTAACATCTCTAACTTTCAGAGGGAAAATTGTCTCACTGTAATGAAGAGACACAAATATTTTCAGTTGAGACACAGTCACTCTCTCCATTAGCCCATCATACCATGAGATTTAATAGAAAAAAATATAGTTCAGTAATTATATATAACTAGTAATTATAGACACACTGTTTCTACACAGAATTAGAAAATTCAGTTAAGCCCACCTGACTCATTAGCAAATGTATGGAGGGTTTTGGAAAGCCCTCAACTAATTCCAAAACATTTTCTGTGATTTTGGAGGGAGGGTTTTTGTTGTGGTGGTAGTAAAGTATATATGACAAAATTTACCATTCTAACCATTTTTAAGTGTATAATTTATTGGCATTAATTACACTCACAGTGTTATGCAACCATTACCACTATTTATTTCCAAAACTTTGTCATTACCGAAACAGAAACCAATTAAGGAATGCCTCCCCATCACCCCCACCCCCAACCTGTCCCTGGTAACTTCAGTCTGCTTTCTGTGTCTGAGTTTGCCTGTCCTAGATATGTCATATAAGTTGTAGATATGTCTTACATGTCATACAAGAATCACATGATATTTTTCCTTTCTTGGTATGGTGTATTTTACTTAGCATGATGTTTTTAAGGTTCATCCATGTTGTGGCATGTATCAGAAACTTATTCCTTTTCATGGCTGAATAATACTATATTGTATGTATGTACTACATTTTGTTCATCCATTCATCTGTTAATGGACATTTGGGTTATATCCACCTTTTGCTGTTGTGAGTAATGCTGCCATGAATATTGGTGTACAAGTATCTGTTTGAGTCCTGTTTTCAATTTTGGATATATAAATAGGGGTGGGATTGCTGGGTCATATGGCAATTAGATGTTTAGCTTTGTGAGGAACTGCCAAACTTGCTTTGCACAGGGCTCCCCATTTAACATTCCTACCCTCGTGCAAGAGAGTAACAGTTTTTCCACGTCCTCACCTACTCTTCTTATTTTCCTTTTCTTTTGGATGTGGGTATGAAAAGTATCTCATTGTGGTTTTGATCTGCATTTCTGTAATGACTAATGATGATGAACATTAATGTGCTTATTGGCCATTTGCATATCTTTGGACAAATGTCTAGTTGATCCTTTGTCCATTTTTAAATGTGTTATCTTTTTGTTGTTGAGTTGTAGGAGTTCTTTATATATTCTGGATATTAAATCCTTATCAGATACATGATTGTAGATATTTTCTGCCATTCCGTAGATTGTCTTTTCACTTTCTTGATAATATCCTTTGATGCACAAAAGTTTTTAATGACATCCAATTTACCTATTTTTTTCCTTTGTTACTCAAGTTTTTGGTGTCATATCTGAGAATCCATTGCCAAACCCAACGTCTAACGTTTATTTTAAGAGTTTAGCATTTGTATTTAGGTTGTCCATCCATTTTGAGTTAATTTTTACATACACTGTGAGGTAAGGGGTCCTGATTAAATAATTATTTATTTTGGATGTGGAAATCCAGTGCTCCCAACACCATGTTTTGGAGAAACTATTCTTTCCCTCTTGAATGGTCTTGGCATCTTTGTAGAAAATCATTTGGCTGTAGATGCATGGGTTTATTTCTGGACTCTGAATTCTGTACCATTGGTTGCCATGTCTGTCCTTATGCCAGTACTACACTGTTTTGGTTACTATAGCTGTGTAGTAAATTTTGTGATCAGGAAGTATGAGTCCTCCAATTTTCTTCTTGTTTTGGTTATTAGGACCCTTCTGTTTCTCTCTCTCTCCCTCTCTCTTTTTTTTTTTTGCTTATTTTGTTTATTTTTTATTTTGATATCATTAATATACAATTACTTGAACAACATTATGGTTACTAGACTCCTCCCATTATCAAGTTCCCACCACATACTCCATTACAGTCACTGTCCATCAGCGTAGTAAGATGCTATAGAATCATTACTTGTCTTCTCTGTATATACTGCCTTTCCCGTGTCCCCTCTGCCACTACATTATGTGTGCAAATCATAATGCCCCATTTTCCCCCTTATCCCTCCCTTCCCACCCACTGTCACCAGTCCCTTTCCCCTTGGTAACTCTTAGTACATTCTTGGATTCTGTCAGTCTGCTGCTGTTTTGTTCCTTCAGTTATTTTCTTTGTTCTTATACTTCACAGATGAGTGAAATCATTTGATACTTGTCTTTTTCTGCCTGGCTTATTTCACTGAGCATAATACCCTCTAGCTCTATCCATGTTGTTGCAAATGGTAGGATTTGTTTTCTTTTTATGGCTGAATAATATTCCATTGTGTATATGTACCACATCTTCTTTATCCATTCATCTACTGATAGACACTTAGGTTGCTTCCATTTCTTGGCTATTGTAAATAGTGCTGCGATAAACATAGGGGTGCATCTATCTTCTTCAAACTGGGCTGCTGTATTCTTAGGGTAAATTCCTAGGAGTGGAATTCCTGGGTCAAATGGTATTTCTATTTTGAGTTTTTTGAAGAACCTCCATACTGCTTTCCACAATGGTTGAACTAGTTTACATTCCCACCAGCAGTGTAGGAGGGTTCCCCTTTCTCCACAACCTCGCCAACAGTTGTTGTTGTTTGTCTTTTGGATGGTGGCCATCCTTACTGGTGTGAGGTGATATCTCATTGTGGTTTTAATTTGCATTTCTCTGATGACTAGCGATGTGGAGCATCTTTTCATGTGCCTGTTTGCCATCTGAATTTCTTCTTTGGAGAACTGTCTGTTCAGCTCCTCTGCCCATTTTTTAATTGGCTTATTTGCTTTTTGTTTGTTGAGGTGCATGAGCTCTTTATATAATTTGGATGCCAACCCCTTATCGGATATGTCACCTATGAATATATTCTCCCATACTGTAGGAAGTATTTTTGTTCTGTTGATAGTGTCCTTTGCTGTACAAAAGCTTTTTAGTTTGATATAGTCCCACTTGTTTATTTTTGCTTTATTTTCCCTTGCCCGGGGAGATATGTTCATGAAGAGGTTGCTCATGTTTATATCCAAGAGATTTTTGCCTATATTTTTTTCCAAGAGTTTTATGGTTTCATGACTTACATTCAGGTCTTTGATCCATTTTGAGTTTACTCCTTCTGTTTCTCTTTTAAAAGGTGTTTGGCAGTATTTGGTGCACACAGAAGACTAATACATGATATATGTGTTATGAAGCATAAAATTAATACCATGAACCTACCACTCAACTGAAGAACTGGAATAATAGAGTATTACATTTATGTTCCCTTCCTGTCTCTTTCCTCTATCTCCTTCCAAGAGGAAACTACTATTCTGAATTTTATGTCTTATAAATTCTTTAA